TAAACATGTCGACATGTGCTAGCGTTTATAAACCTCCCACTAGCGGGCACAGTAATCAGTAATCATGACTATATCTGAGACAAAACCATGCAGAGTTTACAGAGAACCCGAATTTCACAATCAATCCCAATTTTAGAAATACCCAGAAAAATCCATGTGGGCATGGATTTATCAGAAAACTCAGAATTTGTAACTCTCGGTTCATCAAAACAGTTCAATCAATTCCAAATAGGCATGCTCTACTCAATACCAATGAAAACAGTTTCATTTCAAACCAATCATGCTCGGTGCAATAACTCCAGAAAAACAATGAAATTCTCACTTTTCATTTCAATCATGCTCAATTCTAGAAAACAGTGAAATTCTCATAAAAACCATCACAATTTCCATTTCAGTTTAATCACATTCAAATGCTGATAAAATCAATTTAAAATCAATTTAAACCTTGCCACCATCTCAAAAACAGTTTAAAACATGCTTTAAAATCGAAGGGCTTTACCATGATTTACTTACCTTACTCGCACATAACAGAAGGCTAATCCAAGTGCTACGGTGATAGAACGATCAAAACCTAATCACAATATTCCAAAGTTAATACCGCACCACCACAAATTCACAGTGAAATCATCATTAGCACTACCCCTAATCACGGTGCTATTTCTATCAATCTCCACATAACCGGACATCTCCAAACTTATCCTTATATCACAAACTAATCATTTAAATCCCTGTTAATTATTGACCCTCGGTGTGTGAACAGTGCCCGTGAACAGTACCTCATGAACAGTAACTTCAACTCCCAAAATTGACAAAACATAGCTAATTCACGGGGTTTCTCAAATAAGCTAATTTTCTCCTTAAACCATACTTAAAACATAGCTTAAAGCTACCAAAATTTCCCCAATCTCACGGGTAGCACATGGAGGGCATGACTTGGCAAATCACAACTCACACACACGGGATTTTCACACAAAACATCACAACAGCCCAATTAACAAAATTCCTACATAAACCAAGCACAAAACACATTTAATTGCTACAAGAATTCCTCCCCCATTTTTGCAAAATTCAGGCAAGCACAGGGCAACACTTAATGGACAAAACCCAACAATTAAATGGGTAATTTTAAGCTTGGAAAAGCCGGCAACTTACCAGAATTCCAACTAGCAGAACCCGAGCTTGGCTGGTGAGGGGCCGACGAGATCCAGGGGGGAAAACTCATGGTAAACTCCAAAAATTCAAGAACCAACAACAAAATTAGAGTAACCCAAGCCAAATGAAGAGGGAAAGGATGAATTCAAGGCTACTTCTTACCAGAAAAAGCCGAAGGATTCAAACCTAGCAGAACCCGACGGACAAGGGAGAAGAACAGAGCAGAACCGAGATTTTTTGGGTTGAGAAGGAAGATTCTAAGCCCCAAATCTTGTGATTGAGCAAGAAAGAAAGAGAAAATCCCAAGCTTGGTCACCAATTCTCTCAAAAATGAGTCGGTGGCTAGAGGGGCTTGGGGGGGGCTGTCGGGAGGAAGAGTCGGGAAGAAGAAGAAGATGAGGACGAGCAAAACACGTGGCTGAGGAGAGAAATATCAGCCTTGATCCTTATCCTAATTTCCTTTTTTTTTAGTCCCCTAACTTTTTAAAATTTTATGATTAATCCCCGAAATAAAATTTTCCCTCAAATAAGTCCCTTATTAAATGCTAAAATATCACCAATTTTTGGGGTATTACACCTATAGAGGAGTGATGTTGGCTAAGTAAGCGCATATGCTCTTGCAATCTCCTCTCAAAGCTAGCCTTCAACTCTGACACTCTTTGTGATACCTTCATCTGAATACGTGCGGCTACCTCTATCTAAACTCACTTTGTCATTTCTTCTCAAACTCATGTAAACTCAGACTGCAACTGCTGGACTTGTGTTGTAAGCATCTTGGTGGTAGAGGATGAGGCCTCACTCATGTCATACCATCACTAAGGTATGCCATGCTCTGTTGGGTCCTATCGTGTGGACATGCCTTTCATCTAACCCTTTTTAATTGGTCTAACCACCTTCTTCTAGATAAGTGGATCCCATTCGGGCCATAAGTCTTTGTTTGGCCCATGCTTCTCCACATACTTTTGATGAGCATCATTCTGTTTCAAAAATAAATTTTCATTAGTTAGACTAATTTAAATTCTATTAACATTAAAAATAACTATAATTAATATCATAAAAGAATTAGATACTTACTTATGTCTGTTTAGCTTGTAGACATATCCAAGCAGGTGGGGCACCTTTTGGGGGCATTAGGTCGACGAGTCATATGAGTTAACATGTACAACACTAAAGGTGTGGGCCTAACTTCCTCTTTTTCCCTACCTATTAAAACATCAATAAAATTCAGTTTTAGAATATGTTTGGATGAAGATTGGTAAGGGAAAGGTAAGGAATGTAAATAAAATATTGATAAACAAAGTATAATCATGTAGTTTATGTTTTTTAGTTTAGTTGCGTTATTGAGAAACTAAAAGTGTTGTTGTTTAATATTAGATTTGACTTTCAAGTATCTTTCATGGCCATCATTCTCATTTTCTTTCCTCATAACTCATTCAACAAGAAGCCAAATTTAGTAGCCCAAAAACTCAATCACTCAAAGCTCAACCTATTTTTTGTTATTGCTGAAACCAAAGCTTAGAGCAATTGGAGCTTAAGGGAAGTAGATTACTAAATGGTGGTAATTTTCCATAATTCTTTGAATTTAATTCAAGGCGATTGTTTCGAAGATGATTATAAGTTTTGAGTACTAACTAGGTCAGAGATGCTAAGTCAATAACTACTATAATTTTCTAGGCAGAGATCCATAGTTACCTACCATTCACATGATAACCTATCAAACATCAAAGCAGTAACCATTACCCTATCAAAATGTAGCAACAACTAAAACAATTTAAGTTAGTCTAAAATGTATCAGAATTGTCCTCAAGTTTTTGCAAATGAACCATTTTGGAATTGTCCTTGAGTTTATGCAAATGAACACTTAAGAACTAATTAAGCACTGCAAGCAATTGAGTCTAGTTACTAGCATAACTCAGATGTCATGACAGCAAAAACAATGAGAACATCGTAACTCATAAAAACAGATTATAGAGACAATCTTGTAATAGAAAATCAATCTTCCATAAATAAAATCCAAACCATATATAAGCTGATAAAAACAAGCAAGCTAAATAAACATCTTAAATTAGTATCATATACCAAGAAACAAAAAATGGTAACTTTCAACAATATTTCTATATCTATAAATATATATAGATAAAAGTATATTCTACTAACCAATTGATCCTCATGGATTGTAATGGTAATGCATCTAGTTGTGTGGGTCACACAACACTCTTTGTTAGGTTATTCCAACTATTTTCTTGGAGTGCAATATATTTGGGCCCCTCCACTTTGCTAGCAATATCTTGAAAGTATCCTTGTGCATAAACTTAGGCAATTTCTTGAAAGCCTCCCATGTCTTTTGAACCTAATGAAGCTCATCTCAGAAATGGTTTCGACAATATAATCTCCAAATCCTATTGACATGAGCATTGTCCTCCTTCCAATTATATGTCCTCTACAAATATTAAAATTAGTGAAATTAATTAATAACACATTTGATGTTATAAAAAAATTGGTAGAGTTATGCTTAAAATATTCATTTTCCCACTATTAACAAAACAACATAAAACATATAAAAATATTCAACACTTCCTATCAAGATCACTTGCAAAATATTTAATATTCAATTATGGTTCACATTAGAAGAGTGCTAATTGATGAGAGGTTCTTTGGAAACAAAAAAAAAGAAGAAAGTAAAGTCAAATTCTTTTTGGCTATTCTCTCAATTCCAATAAAAAACAACTGGATGGCGTGTGAGCTTAATTTTGGCTCTAGGTCTACTTCCCATCTAGGCATGCTGATGCAAAATTACTAATGCAATTAAGAACATGAAGTTGAAATTTCGTATCAAGCTGTTGCAAAATTGTTAAAACCTCAATTTGATCACTCTATTTTGGTGAAAAAACCCCTTTTTAGTCCCTCTACTTAAAAAGGCCCATTTTTGGCCTTTAAAGTTTGAATTCCAACCCCTTTTTAGTATCTCTGTTAAGTTTTGCACACGTGACACATTAAATGATAGAAATTTCAAAGTAGAGGGCTAAAAGGGGTTTTTTTGCCAAAGTAGAGGGACCAAATTGGGGCTATTTTTAGCCCCCTTTTGTTCCCTCAACTTAAAAATTTTCGTTATCTAATGTGACATGTGTAAAACTTAATGAATGGACTAAAGAGGGACTTTTTGTCAAAATCGAAGGACCAAAATGGGGATTTAACTTGCAAAATTCTATATCAAGCTGAGTTGTTAATCAATCAAATGGGTTTCTAGTAATGAACCAATGAGAAATTAAGAATTATGGTATAATTTTCATCATTAAAAAAACAAATGGAATGGACAGAAAATCAACATGATTAAATAAAAAAACATCAAGGTTATATCAAGGTAAGCCAATCAAGAAATTTGTTCAACCCTTTATTCTTTTAAGGTTAAATGCTAAATTTGGTCCCTCAACTTTAGTGAGTTGCACATTTTTGGTCCCTCAATAATTTTTTGCACTTTTTTGATCCCTCAACTCTAAAAAATGCACACCTTAGTCCTTCTGTTAATTTTGACCGTTAACTCCACTACGTGGCATTTTTTATATTTTGTTTGATGACATGGCAAAAATAACTTTAAAAGTGTTGATCTGGATTTTTTTTTTTATGACGTGTCAACGCCACCTCATAAACTAAATTTGCCTTAATAAAAAAATTAAAAAATTATAAATTTACCTTAATACCCCTGTCTCCTTTCTTGATACATCTTCTTCCCCTCTTTAGATCCATCTTCTTCCTTTCTTTTTTCTTTTTCTTTCTTTCTTTCTCTTCTTCTCTTCTTCCACCAAACCCAGCAAACTGGGTTCGACGGAACCCAGTTGCTGGGTTCGACGGAACCCAAATCTGCTGGGTTCGCAGAACCCAGCCAACTGGGTTCCGTGGAACCCAGATCTGCTGGGTTCGAGGAACCCAGCAATTGGGTTCCACCGAACCCAGCTCGGGTTCGATTCTTCTGCTTCATAGGCTGATGAAAAAACCTTCATTGTCATGGTTCAGTAGGATGCCAAACCCTTGAGATTGAGCTTTTTGATTCAGTAGGATGTCATGAAAAAACCTTCGAGGAATCTGATTTTGGGTCCGATCTTGTGATTGAGCTTTTTGATACCGGGATATGGCTTGAGTGGCAGAGTTTTAATGACCGGGACCCTTGAGATTGAGCTTTTTGATTTAGTAGGATGTCATGAAAAAACCTTCAAGGAATCTGATTTTGGGTCCAATCTTGTGATTGAGCTTTCTGATACCGAGATATGGCTTGAGTGGCAGAGTTTTAATGACCGAGACCCTTGAGATTGAGCTTTTTGATTCAATAGGATGTCATGAAAAACCTTCAAGGAATCTGATTTTGGGTATGATCTTGTGATTGAGCATTTTGATACTGGGATATGGCTTGAGTGGCAGAGTTTTAATGACCAGGATTTGGGTTCGATTCCTGCAAAATGGAAAGGGCAATGCGTGATGATGAAGGATTTTGGATCAAGTTTATGTAATAAGAAGCTTATTGGAGCGAGATTCTTCTACAATGGGTAAGAGGCAATGAACGGGAAGATGAATGAAACCTCGAAGTACAAGTCGCCAAGAGATTGGTGATGTGGGGCCCATTTGAATAGATTTGTCTTTTTTCAGTGACAGTAACATTATGTGGCAAAACACTTTATCCATATCATCATTTTTTTTAATTTTACCCTCCACATCATCAAAAAAAATATAAAAAATGCCACATGGGCGGGGTTAACGGTGGAAATTAACAGAATGACTAACGGTGTGCATTTCTTAGAGTTGAGGGATCAAAAAAGTGCAAAAAATTGTTGAGGGATAAAAAATGTTCATTTCTTAAAGTTGAGGGACCAAATTAAGCATTTAACCTTCTTTTAACCTTTGATCCTCATGATTCTACTATTATGCTTTAATGTTTTTACAATACCATGCAATTATCTAGGTATTTAATTGCTTTTTTTTTGTTATATATGATATGTGTGTTCAGTTTTAGAAAGAATAAAACAAAACTCTAATATTTAATAGATTGAGCTCCCCACAATTCAAGGAAAGAAAATCTCCAAACACAATAGTGAAAAATAGAAAAGTCTTCAGTTTCATGAAACCTTAAAAGTAAAAATTATCCACTCTCCATGTAGAAAATGGAAATCTAAAGTTTGAATTCCTGAGATATGAATGCAAAATAATACATAAATGAAGTAGTATTCATTATAGCCAGAGTAGCTTCTTTATAGCCAGAAGGACAACAATGGCTAGCTTCGCCCATGGCTGAAGTGTGAATTATTTGGAACAAAGGAAGAGCAGTCCTCGTAATTTGCCAAGCTGTTA